GACAGTGCTTTGGGGAGGCACCATTTTTAGGGATTGAAGGCACAGGGAGTTCCTTGAATTGTGCCACTTACCCACTCACACTTGGGCACCTCTGGGTACCAGGTCCTGTCCTCCAAGCAGGTGATGTTTTGGGGACCGACGATACCATAGCCAGAGTCACACTGGATGGTGACATTTTCAGTTTCAACAAACTGATCCTTATCCACAAGCAGATTCCCATGTTCTATCTCTGGTGTCGGACATACAGCTACAAGGAAAGCACAGTTAAGCAATCTGTAAGTCTAAGAAAAGAAGACGAGATCACAGGCTAGGATTATTAAAATGAACTGCATGTAGGTGCTGCTCATTGTCTTATGCTTTTTTTTCTTTTGAGAGCAATAATATTAGCTTCCATGTAAATTGAGCATTGGCTCATATCATTCTTCAGGGCTCACCATTTGATGTGATTATCTCATTGAAGTCTCACTCATCTCTATAAAGTGAGCACTGTTATTATTCCCATTTAAATAAGAAAAAAAGAGATAGAGAGAGGTTAAGCAACTTGTTGAAGACATAGCATCTTTAAATTACATTACAGGGTATAAAAAAGGCTCACAACCCCAGACTCAGCTATCAAAGCAATAATCCCTCCCATTGTGATCCCTACAAAACACTGGGGATAAAATGTTCTCTCTTGCCCATTGTCCTCTTGTGAGCAAAAGAACCAATGGTGACAAAAAATTCCTGGAGTTGTTGGTGGCAAAGTACACTAAACCTGTATGCATGCAAACAGCAAACCTAGTCTTGACGCCTCCCACCCAACATCAGTTTTCAAACTGCGAATCCCACACCACAGGCCTCCAGCATTGGCAGGTGGTGCCCTACACTGCATGAGGCTCACTTCCTGGTGTTTGGAATCAGCCCCTGAGAGCCTACATTCATGCCAGAGCAAGTTTCCATGAAAATTGTGCTCCAGGCCACAAGAAAATGTACCGCCTGTAGACTATTTCCAGAGATATACAAGAAAGTGGGAACAGGGGCTGCCTCAGGAGGCTGAGTTTTGTAACTGGGAGAAAGAAATAGGGGAGATTAATGTTTCTATATACCCCTTGTACTTTTGTTTGCTTTGGGTACCATTTGGATATAGTAATTATTTAAAATAAATAAATCATATGTTTTGTTCTGCCTCTGGCTGGAAAGAAACGTTATTCTCAATCCCTGCATGACAGTTTCTCCCACTTATCCGTGGGCTGGAGTTACCTTTGCATTGAGGAGGTGGACCAGACCAGCGTGAATAAATGCAGAAGAGTATGGGATTTCCAACCAGAATATATCCTCTGTCACATTCATATTTAGCCTCATCTGGTGAGAATGTGTGTGTAGTTAGTTTAGGACGTCCATGGTCAATGACAGGAGGATAATAGCAACCTTGTTGGGAAGACATAAAGTGAGAGAGCTTGAGCTTAGAGGACATAAACAACAACACATCCCAGAATCTGTGTGCTTTCTGTAGGCTCTGTCCTGTCCTGCCATCTTCTCTGCCCAAGGGATCACTTAGCGAAACCCAAGCACCTGTGCTGCCCTCCCATATGCTCAGGATGAAGATCCTTGATGGCACTCTAATAGATCACATGGTGGTCATTTCTATAGTCTCCAAAGGTATAATCTGAATAAACAAAATTGGTAGTTGGTCCATTCTCCATATTGGGTCATTGACCTGTGTGGTAACAGCAATCACATGCAAAATGGCCAAGTAGAAACTATTGATCTGCCCCAGACTCCTCCCCCAAAAATTAGAATTCTGGACAATTACAGTAGACTGTTGAACACTCAACATTTTAGCCCCTACTACAGACCCTGTACCAGATATGGTAACTTTGCTTTAATATGTCTTCAGGGAAATGAGGCCACTGTTTTAGCAAAGGCCTTCTTTCCCACCCTACCAAAAAAGAAGATCAGAAACAATCTGCACACACATGAAAGGGTCAATATCATACATTTGCAATTTTTCCCTTGTCCTATGAAAACTCACCTGCTCCTCTCATAATATTCTATTGAAGAGCAAGAAGACGGTAGCATGATGTGAGATAATAGAAAAAAAAATATATATATATATCAGCCCTCAGTTTCTAAGATAGAGATCCTGAAACCCTTGCAATTTCCTTTATGATAAGAGCACTAAGAGCATCCTTTATTCTAATGAGGTGACTCTGGGTGTACTCCTGGGAGGCGCTCGTCACCAGAAGGACCAAACCATGATTAGAAGTTTGGAATCTTCCCCTCTTCCAAGGAGAGTCTGGAAACCGAATTAATACTTGATGGTGCCTACATGAGGAAGCCTCCATAAAATTCCAAGAGTAGGGAGTTCAAAGAGCTTCCAGATGCGTGTAACACATCCACCCACCTGGAGGGTGAAGAACCACAACTCCATGGGCACAGAAGCTCCATGTTTGGGACCCTCCCAGACTTTGCCCCATGTATTTCTTCATCTGGCTGTTCATTCATCTCCTTTATCATATCTGTTAATAAACTGGTAAATGTAAGTATTTCCCTGAGTTCTGTGAGCCACTTTAACAAATTAATCAACCTCAAGAAGGGGATCCAAAGAACCTCTGATTTGTAGCCAAGTTGGACAGAAGTTGGGGGTCATCTAGGGTCCTACTCCTTGTGATGCCATTTGAAGTGGGGTGGTCCCTGACTTGTGCGAGTGAGCCCTTAACCTGTGGGATCTGACACTACCTCCAGGTAGACAGTGTTATGAATGAATTAAATTGTAGGACACCCAGTTGGTGTCATGAGAATTGTGTGATGTGGGAAAACCAGCCACAGAGGTGGTGACCAGAGTGTTGTCAGTGTTCCATGTGAGTAGTAAAGAAGACATGGGAGAAACACAAGATGAGAAACATTGGTTTTTACAATTCATATAATGATCTTCCAGAGTATAGAAGGTAACAATTCAGGTATTTGCCACACCGGTAAATTGTTAGATGTCCAGGGTTCAGGGCATGCTAGGCTATCCCATCTAAACTCAAGTTGAATTATTGTAAATGGTACCATGTGCCTCAAGGAAGGAATCACAATGCTTAGCATGACTTTTCAGATTCTAAAGGCAGCATATTCCATACTTGGGAATACTATTCAAACCCATATGGTAGTGACAGAAAAGACTGTCAGGTTTGAATAGGGCCCAAGTTAGGAGAGGGCTCTGTGGCAAGTCCAGTCAGCAGTGCAATCCTCTCTGTTGCTTGGCCCTAAGACTCTGCAGAGCCTAGTGTACTGAGGTGGTTACAGTAGAAAAAGATGCAAATGTCAATGGGACAATCACACCATAGGCCCTTGAAATACTGGAGCAGGGCCATGCACTGCAGCATAGAATTACGTATGTTTTGAAATAGAATTCCTGGCATGTCACTTAGTCTTGATCGTGACAGCTCTTGACCTTGGGTCATCATGTGACCATGTAGCCCGAATCACTCATTATGAGCTGAGTCTGTCAGACCCATAAAGTTATAAGGTCAGGCAGGCAACTATCTGTTATAAGATGAAAGTGGTGCATCTGGGATTCAGCATGAGCAAGACCAGATGGCACAAGCAAGTTGCACAAATAAGGAGCCCACATCTTGCTTCTACCCATTCACTGTGGCACTAGTGCGTCTCTCTTAGCTCGCACTTACGGCTATATGGGGTATCCATTGCAAGCAAGCTTACCCAACAGAGGAAAGCTTGTCCCTGGCTCACAGAAGAATATTAGTAATATGTGTGTACAAGCTAAATTAGATGGAAGCTGCATAGAGCCCAATCAGGGTGGTCTCAAAGGTTAGTAGTAAGGGGAAATATTTCTGATAGGCAGAGATTTAGGGGATATATCTGCTCATTCTATTTTTTGGAAAAAAGAAGTGGCCTAAGGTAGACTAAATTGGGGTTTGTGGCCTGGAATGAAGAATGGCTTGTCTGTCATAGCCCCTTAAGGACAAAGATTGGAAGACTGGCACAAGGATATCTGGGAGAGAAGCAAGTGACTGGACACATGGGAGTGGCCAGAAAGTGTCAAGTTTTTATTCTGTATGTTAACACCAGCCATGCACCCTCAATTTAAGAGGCATTAAACAAATAAGTAAAAAATAATGCCTCAGCCAGCTGAAGTCAGCCATCCTCTGTCACAGGCCTCAGCAGAGCTGTCACAAGAGGAAAAGGATAAAGTGGTCAAGGCGACATGGATGAAGGACAAGCATCAGCCCAACAGCATGGACTCCGACTTACCAAGGTTGACTAGCAATTGCTGTCACTCAATATCCAACCTGCCAGCAGCAATGCTAAGTCCCTGATATCATCCCTTGAGACAACCTAAAAGCCACTTGGTTGATGACTATGTTGGATTCCCCTTCCACTTGGAGGGACAGCTATGTATTCTGACAGAAATAGACAACTATTCCAGGTGTGGGCTTTCCTCTTCTGCCTACAGGATTTCAGTCAGCACTGTTATCTGAAGGATTACAGAGTGTTTAAACAATTGGCAGGGGACCCCACTACATGCCACCTACAGCAAAAGAGGTATGATATTGGGATGCGACCCTGAAATGCACTCCTTGCATTACAAACGGTGTCGCCCGGAACCTGCAGACCTGTTAGGACATTGGGATGGCCTGTTAAAGGCTTAACTGAAGTGCCAGTTGAGATAATGGGAGTTTACAATAATGGGACTTTACAATAGTACTTACAGTAACTTTAACAACACAGTATTCACTTTAAATCAAAGATCGGCCTTTATATGGTACTGGGTTCCCAATTTAAAAAAATAGAGTCCATGAGCCTAGAAACCAAGAGATGGAAGCATGAGTAGCCCCATTTATATTCACTCTAAGTGAACTTTTGGGGAAAATGGGCTTCTAATCCCTGAACTCTGTGACCTGCAGATAGAAAATCGCTGGTAGGCAAAGTGGAAACACTTCAACTAAGGGAGATAAGATTCCCATTGATTTCTCCACTGTGACAGATACCTCGTCACTCTGAAGCTCCTTTGGGCTCCTTATTTCAGAAGGAAAGGCAAAGAATCGCTGTTCAGTTGGCGGTGATTATTCCTGGTCATCAACAGATAGGGTTATGGAAAAACAGCGGGAGACAAAAGGATTGTGTTTAGTACTTAAGTGCTCTTGGTGAGGGAGAGGTAGGCATCTCACACTGAGAGACAGGCTGAAGAAGGGCTTAGAGGCAGCAGAAGAAAGGAAACAAATTCAAATAGATTTGCAGTCTTGTTCTGCAGGTTAAGGAATATGGACCAGAAACACTGAAAGAGAAGAGAATAAATACCAAGAAACAGAACACAATAGTTCAGAAGTCTAGCTGATCTATTAGAAGTGGCCTAATTTCACTGATTCAGGAAAGGAAACCAGGAAGGTCAAGAAAATGGGAGCAACCATTGGGGAGAAAAGAGAAATTTGGAATGCAGACAGTGCTATTAAACAAATGTATCCATTCTAAGAATCATGCAGAGCACAGAAATTCTTTTTACCTAATTTGAACCCTTCCTTTAATCATCGCCCATACTTTGATATGAAGAAACTTCTAAAATAACATAATTCCATAAGCTCTTACTCTCTTCACATGTTGGTGTTTCTGGACTCCAGGTGCCATCTTCTTGGCATGAAGCTTCAGAGTTATGTTGCCCATCACATGAATATAAAATCAAGTCTCCATAGAAATATTCACACTTATTGGCCAAACCTCTTCTCTGCTGTCTTTGCAGAATGATTTTGCCATGCTTCAGCTGTGGTAATGGACAACAAACCTCTAAAAAATAAAAAGTGAGGCTATAAAAAGTGAGGTTAGTAAAATCACCACAAGGAGGCTCCTATGGCTAATAACCTCATTTCCACCTTTAGAAGAGTTCGCCTCAGAAGACAGGTTGGGGAAACAGACAAGGGTCCCCAAGACACCTTGAGTCCTTGCTCCCTGTCCCTGATTTGCTAAAGTAGTTCAATCCAGTCACTTCCTTCCAATTAAATAATTGCATTAGGGGCCTCCAAAATGAGAAGTTGGATGAAACCTGGATGAAAATGTAAATTTTCAAAATTATTCAAGAGCAGTGACAAATAACATTTATCTCCTTAAGGCTTCACTAGGGTCACATCATTATTAAGCTTTCTAATAACTTATACTTCCCAAAATGCAGAAGGAAGAATGTTCTCAAAAGCTTATATTGGCTTTCAGTCGAGATGGTGGCATAAGTAAACGTAGTTCTTGCCTCTCCCCCCACAACCGCATCAAAATTGCAACTAAACAGAACAACCATCATTCACAACAACCACAATCTGGCGGAGTGGAAGTTCTACAACTAGGGAATTAAAGAGGAAGCCACATCGATACTGGTAGGAAGGGCAGAGATGTGAAATGGGCTGGTCCCACACCCACATGTGGCAAATACAAATCGGGAGAGCCCCTCAAACTCCAAGCCCTTGATGGTCTCTTCTGGCAATAGCAGTCATCCTGTTGAATTAATATAATCATAAATTTAACATGAGGAACACAAGTATTCTTGAGCAACAAGATGCTAGCATGATGTGAGATAATCGAAATATATATAACTTTATATAACTTTAAAAATATATAACTTTAACAAATTAATCAAACCCTAGGAGGAAGTTCAAAGAACCTCTGATTTGTAGCCTAGTTGGACAGAAGTTGGGGGGTAATCTTGGGACCTACTCCTTGTGACTGGCATTCGAATTGGGGTGGGACCAGTCTTGTGGGAGTGAGCCCTTAACCTGTGGGATCTAACACTCCTCCAGGAAGACAGTGTTATGAATGAATTAAAATTTAGGACACCCAGTTGGTGTCATGAGAATTGTGTGATAACATTCTGTTTAATTCACCTGTGTACAAATCAACAGCTTCCATATAACCTCAGATTAAGTACCTTCTGAGAAATATAAAAAATAGCTCTTGCCCTAGCCAGTGTGGTTCAGTGGGTTGGAGCATCATCCCAAAAACCGGAAGGTCACAGGTTTGATTCCTGATCAGGGTACACACCCAGATTGTGAATTTGATCCCTAGCTGGGGCGCATACAGGAAGCAACAGGTCAATGTTTCCCTCTTCTTCTCCCTTCCTCTCTCTCTCAAATCAATAAAGTCTTATCCTTAGGTGAGGTGTAAAAAAAACAGCTCTTAATTTTCATGAATAACATATGTATGGAGTTCTGTACTAGGCTCTTCAGGTAATATTAAGAGCCATACTTGCAATATACTTAGATGAGATATAGCCACTTAAATAGCTACACTATAACACCAGTCACACAAGTGCTAGGAGAGTAGAACAACAAATAGTTCTACCGGAAAAGGTTGACAGAACTGAGGACTGGAGTATCGGGGGAGGATGTCCAGGAATGACTTGGAGATACATGAAGGATGAGTAGAAGTGAGTTGCTGATAAGATAATAGAGGCAGACCAATATGGAGGCAATGAGCAAACTCTCTGGCCTCAGAAGGTTATTACTTTAAAGAAAAGGGCAGGCAGAATCAGAAAGGGAGATTTCAAGTCAAAGTTGACAGACATTAAATGCCATTTCATAGGATTAAGGCCATCGATAATGGAAGATTTCAGGAAACAGGAGAGAAAGAGACAGGGAAACATACACATAAAGAAATAATTGAAAGACGTTGACCAATTTAATAAGGTTTTCTTTTGTTACCTCAGACTCTAAGAGAGGAGAACTTAGAGACAACTTGGAGGCCTGAACATCCCCTGGGCAGAATGTTCTTCATGCTGCGCTGACTCTCCAACCTAAAGCTAGTGCTACTCCTCAGTAATGTTCAGGTGTTTGAGGGAAAAATCACCTTCCAGATATAAATTCTTCCTTAATAAACCCATGCTTTTCCCCCACCTCTCTCATTGATGGAGAAGGCATGGCTTCCACACTTTCAAATCAAGCTGCCGGCTCACATGATAACATTCAACTATTATTTTAGATTCAGAATTTTCCCTTGAAGTAATATCAAATCCTACATTTTTTATGCCATGATAGCCATTTTCAGGGAATATGCATAGAAATATCTTTATAATGAAGACGAATTCTCTCAATAAAAAAAAATTCTAGCACAAGAGAAAAATATTTTGCTTAAAGGACATTTCCATTTAGATAATATAACAAATTAATTTCCATAACAACAAATCTTTGAACAGTTCTGGTTAAGTTCTTTTAAACTCTTTTATTTATCCTTCATTTGTAAAAAATTTTCTCCACTTCAATAACAATGCCTTATATTTATATAATTTTTATAGTTCTCCAAGTGCCCTACCTTTTACTCTAGAAATACTAAGTATTTGCGATAACAGACAATATTTTTCCTTTACTGATGAAATTCCCTCCCCTCAATGAATCACTAACTAAGATTGTAGATGGCATAATTAACTTAGTTAGAAGGTAAATGTATTTTAAACATTTTGGAGCATTGAAATATAAGAAATTGATTTGAAAATTAAAGATTATTCCTTGCTAAAGCAGCCTCATGAGAATTTTTACATATCAACACAATTATTCTAGACATAATAACTGCCTCTATCTAGAAGAATTTCTTTTATATTTTAAAATTCTTCATTTTATTAATAATGTAGTTCATCTTACTCTTTCAAAAAGATTATAAATTACCACCAATTGACTACATTTGATGAACTGTGGTTTGGTATTTTTCTTTATATCTTAGAGAAATGACCTCCTTTCCCCATAACCACTGTACTCACCACACAGGCCTGAGGGGCACAACAGTAGGTTCAAGACCCCCAGGAGGTACAGGGCTGGGAGAATGCTCTGCAACTTGGGGGGCATGGTGCAGAGTCTCAGAGGTGCCACACTGGGCTCAGCACTCTTAGACACCTCGAATCAAAATGAAGAAATGTTCTGTAAGTAACTGTCAATATGGTGCCTAAGCCAAGGAACTCAGCCTTGGCAAAGGCCCAGCACTGTGTCACCAAAGGGGGGGGCGGGGGGGGGTGCAGAGGGAGTGACTAGAAGACCAGGTGCTTTTATTGATTTTTAAAATATTTTTAGAGAGAGGAGAAGGAAGAGGGAGAGAGAAACACCAATGAGAGAGAAACAAATGGAATGAGCGGCTTCCTGCACACCCCCTACTGGAACTGAGCCTGCAACCCTGGCATGTGGCCTCACTGTGAATCCAACCAGCTACCTCTTGGTGCACGGGAGGAAGCTCCAACAACTGAGCCACACCGGCCAGGGGCCCCTCCCTTTTCAAAAAAGAAAGGAAGAACGTACGATTACAAAATGGTGCCAGCTTTGTCCATTCGCCGTTCGGAAGGCAGCGCGCTCCATTCACCTTTCCCCTAATTTTCGCATAACCGGGATCGCAATAGTATCTTACTATGGATCCTTCAGGAAAAGCTGTAAGACTTTCCAAATCTGGTGTAGCATTAGGTACATCTGGAGGGATACCACAGTCACCTAGAAATGAAAAAAAAATGGAACCAAAGAAAAGACCACTTTTCAATTGATAGCAACATTCCCTTCCCCACGCTAAGGGAAGCAGCCATGGTTTTTGATACACACGTAGCATTTCGATCCAGTGCCGACTGACATCCCAACAACTTGGTAGGCTTCCAATCTTGAAATAAACCCCTTCCCTCCATTATTTTGTGAAGTGGTTTAGTATTTCTCTCCACTTAGATACGGTTGCTAGGCGCACAATAAAGACTGGGTCCCGGTTGGAACGTTACACCTGGAGATGTGCAATTAAAGGTGTAGCTCCAGGTGTTGTTAGGGGCCCGCGTGGTCGGTTATGTGGCCTCCCACCCTGAAAGAGATGTTGGGGGGTTGACAATCCCTCCAGCCCAGCCCTGCCTTTCTGCTTCCCAGTATTGGCTGCTCTGCAAACTCAGCCGGGGCTTCCTCAGCCATCCGCGCCTCATCCTAAAGTCACTCCTACAGCCGTGCAGTTGGGGTCCCGCACAGCAAGACCCCTAATAGCTGGTCCTAATAGCTGGTTAGCAGCGGAGATCCTCTTTGTCCCATGGGATACGGCCAGTAGGAGCTCTGATCTTTTTTTTTTTTTTTAATATATTTTATTGAATTACAGAGAGGAAGGGAGAGGGATAGAGAGTTAGAAACACCAATGAGAAAGAAACATTGATCAGCTGCCTCCTGAACACCCCCTATTGGGGATGTGCCCACAACCAAGGTACAGTGGGGCCTTGACTTACGAGTTTAATTCGTTCCGAGATCGAGCTCGTTAAGGAGCTCGTTAACTCAAATTACTCTGTCAACTCAAAGCAAAAAATCGGCCAAAACTTGTTAGTCAGGACACTCGTAAGTCAAGGCCCCACTATTCATACCCTTGACCTGAATCGAACCTGGGACTCTTTAGTCC